TTTACCTGAGAATAGTATCATGATCTGTGTCATATCACGAATAAAGAATTGTGATCCATATTGTCTAGCTATTTTCCTTTTGTGAATGTCAGCCCTAGTTATGGGATCAGAAGATTCCGTCTTGTCTATATTTCAGTTTCCCTCTCAAATGTTGAGTAGCATATTCATTCAAACTGTGGCAAAACTTATCTAAATACCGATTCATCATGATCATCACATAGTTGAAATCCTTATCATGAACCAAATATAGTAATAACTTTGTGAAGTCAGTGTGTCACAATTGAGTCAACTGACTGATGCCTTAGCATCCATTTTCAAAAATTAATACAGTGTTTTAGTAACAATTTTAGTCAACTTGTCCTTATAATAAGAACAAACAGCAAAACCCACAAAAATGGCAAATTTTGACCTGTCCTTATGATACCTTAAACTATTGGTCAGTTTGGCAAGGACTACAGGACGAGAGCCAATTTCTAACGCTGTAATATTTACATTTTGCAATAGCTCAACCAGATAACTACTTACGCTAGAGTTAGCATAATGCCGACCACAAAACAAAATGCTGAGTCTGATTGTATAAACCTACCACAACAGGCCAAACTTAACATGCTTATCCAGTGAGTCGTTTTTAAGTTACTGGTTGACAGGAACAACTTTTTATGAGCCAGGCCACATGAATTTCATGAAAAAGTGGTGCAATTTAGAAGCACAATGCATATGATATTGCGGTGCAAGTATCGCAATATGTATGCATACAGGTTAGTATTTAATACCGTATTGGCTGTATTAAGCATGCCGTTCCAATAACCACGCTCTGACCAACATCTACATTAATCTGGAAGTAACCTCTACAATTGCTCTGTACTAAACTCAAAATTTACATGACCATGATGACAGTTCATAATTTCTTGTGTATACTACAGATTTTTTACAGAAAACACAGCAGTGTAGGAGAAAAAAAGAAAATAATTGCCTTGTAACTATCATTATCATCATAAAAAACATCTGAGTTTCGACATTTGGACCAAGTTTGTCCTCTTCCACCCAATCTCCGACAACAAATTTAACTTGTGTATGGTTTTGATAAGCTAACTTAAATATACTGAACAAAATTAGGTTAAAGATCATGAATATTTTATGAAATTGTGATTTTCATCATCACTACAAAAAATATACCCCAAAATATTCATGATCCCTAGTATTTGTCAGGAGATTAGCTTTTTTTTGATAACTGATGAATCAAACCATACAAGCTACCGTCTGTTTTCCAGAAGCCTTCATGTGAAAGTGCCTGGTTTGAGGTGACCAAATCATGAAAGTATGGCCTGTTTGTTTGCCTGCTACAACTGAGTGTAATTATTTAGAGATCTACCAAAACAAGACACAATCACTGCGACTGACATGTACGCAATAACCATTATAACGTTTGTGTCAACATGGACACTTAAAATCAGTCACTGCGTCAATACTGCAGTCACCATTTGTCACTGTCATGTATTTATCTTATGACAACAGTGCAGCTTGTGGTTTATCATTCCTTATCATGTTTTTGAAAGGAACAAGTTTCATGTTTTTTAAGATATTCAGAACATTGATTATGTTGATTGCACATGTATGAAACATGCAAAACAAGAATTTTCCCATTTCTCATGTTCATAATCATGTAGCATGTATATTTAACACAAAACTGCAAAAAAGCAGAGAAAATAATAATTTCCTTTATTTTAACTAAACATGAGAAAGGAAATAGAATTCAATATGTACACATCAACACCAGTTAATTTACCATTGCACAGACAATTATGCCTATTTGACAAAATGTACAAGAAAAGATGAATTAAATACCAATGTTTGCAGTGAGTGAGTGTGATTTATATATTCCAGCAATTCCACAACGGGGTACAATCAGAAATGGGCTTCACACATTGTGAGGACGCATGTGAGGAATTGAACCCGGCCCTTTGGTGTGACAAGCAAATGCTTTAACCACTGGGCTACCCCACCACCCCACTAATGACTGGAAAAGTTGCATATATATTTAACAATATGATAACAATGGAGGTTTTTAAAAAATGATTCTATATAGAATGCTCACGTTTGCAAAAGAATAAATATACCAAATTAATATATTCAATAAATTCCATTCAAATATTTGAAAAGCAGGCTGAGTAGCACTGGGAGCTCTGATCAAACAAGCCCCTGTTGTGTGTCTGGATGATTTTAAGATCCCCATCTACCCCTATACACGGTCCAGGCAAAGAATATATTTACCATGAATATAAAACAGTCAGGTGAGTGGCTAGGTAATACAATAGGTGTCTCACTGTCTAGCCTTCCTTTTAATGTTGCGACTCACCGACCGCATGGTATGTAAATGCCACAACAATGGGGTCAGGTATGTCAACATATTTGGCACTGTAGTCTACATTTACAATAGAACCGTCAACATTCCTTCATAAAGTAAAGGGAAAGGAGAGGGGGCTGAGCAAATGGCCACTGACAAGTTGACATAGGCACTCAAGACAGGACCTCTAACTAGTAAATAAACCCCAGAATTTGGAGGTGAACAAGCAACGTCAATAGCTTACTCCAAGCAGGTGCTTGAAGGCCTCTAGGTCATATAATTTGTATCTACTATTACATAGTACACAGAAAACTGAAAAGTATGCAATAAGCATGATATGAGCCATGTTCAAAACAAGAGCCTGCCTTTAGGCCCTTGGCAGATAGATCTCATGTATGTAAAGGCCTGTAGTTTCACATTTGTATGGGTCTTATGGCCTGCAATAAATTTGTGTCGATCGATTTGTCACAATAAGCTGCAGCTTTTTTACTGAGGGCTTGAAGAGAATGTCTATAGGTCCTGGTTGGTATTTTAATATATTACCCTGACAGTTTAAATGATATAAAAACCTTAGGATGACACAACAACTTAACTACAAAGAGTGTCTGGCAAGGAAAAAGAGGATGTTAAGCTTCAGTGGTTAAATCATCAAACCAGAAATAATCAACATTTTAGTGTGCATTCAAGTATTAAGAAAGTGATGAATATCTTACCCACTTGATATCTTAACTCTTTGCAACAGTGTCATGCTTAGTATTACTATTAATCTCTTTCTTGTACCACTGTTGTATATCAATTGCACAATTTCCGGTTGTATGAACAGAATGAAGACAAACTCACATCAACAAGTAACTGTAACCCAACTGTGTCTTGTTTATGATGGTTATATTGATGGAACCAGAGTAGGAGAACCAATGCGACAAGTAAGACAAGGATGAATATATGAGGTCACATATAACAAGGATAACTAGCTAAGTTATAATGTATCTTACACTGGAATTAAAAGTATTAAAACTTACTAATACTGTGTTTTCAGACCAAAACAAACATTTCAATAGTTTGCTTTTCTCAAATATGATTAAGCTTGAAGTTATTGAGAATAGGCAGTAACACAAATAAGATAGTAATAACAATTATGAGTGTTTGGAATTGCATAAGAAAATATGAATACATCATAAAATCTAACCAATGATTGTGCCATCATCAACATGATCAAAATTAACTGGTTAGTAATTTGAAGTTGTATCTTGACAATTGATCATGTTGATAATTTCATAAATTATTTGTTTTTAGTCTGACCATGTGCAGGGTTCACTCTAGGAACTTTCTGAAATGGGCTCTTTATATAAAAATTTGAAATATTCTACAGGTACGCCCATACAGCACAATGTTAAAATGACCCATTGTATTTGAAAATGTGGGCCTTCTTTCTAATTTAGGGGCTAAAAGCACAAGGCCCCACCCTAGAATTATCCCTGCATATGTTCAATCTACCACTGAATTAATATCTATTCACCATGTTCACATTAACATGTATTATCATAATAATAACTATAACATTGGGATAAGTGGCTAAATGTTTAGAGCCAAATAAATGTATTGTTTACTTCAATACTTATGGTGCATAAATCAAACTTTCTTTATTCTTGGGAGATGATGAGAAAAAAATTGTGTATGTTTATTGTATCATGATGTTGATATATTGATGCTGCCTTGTAGTTATACTTATCTTTACAAATAACCATCAACAGTCTATGGGCAACCAGTTTGACAAAAAGCAAACATCTGTCTCCACATGTACCAAACAGAAAGTGTCTTATAATCTTCACCATGCTAACAAGGCTTTAAATTATAGATTTTTTAGTCATGCATGCACATAAATGTCCATCAACAGTGACACTTTGGGTAATCTGACCATGTGGAAGCTTTGTGTTGATCAATCTACCAATACATTCTAGTGACCATCATGAGTCGACATTACATAGTTCTCCCATATCATCATGCCTATCAGCAATTCCATGGCTATGCAGTAACCAGGTAAGCGGGGTGAGACAAATAGTGTTACTTTATCAGAACTTTGGGGAAGACTTCCGCCCGTATCCCCCATCAAAAAGTTTTATATGTATGCATTGCTGCTCAGTCCTATTTTTTTAGGGGGGAATATGGACGGAAGTCTCACCATTATTCAAACCACAATATAATGACTGATTATAGATCACGGTCAGAGAAAGAAATTAACAGTTTTAGTCCACTAGTTGTAATGATAACATATATCAAAACCATTACAAAGGGCAAATTTCTACTGGTCCTGATGATACCTTAACTATTGGGCAGTTTGCAAAGACTATAGGACTGGTGCTAATTTCCAACGCTGACGGTACTAACAACAACTTCAACAAGCCTACTGCCAATACTAATAGAACCTAATAATTGTGTATTATTACCGTCCACCTTCTTCCAAAGATAATAAGCATGGAAAAAGTTGGATTTTTTTCAAACAGAACCCCCAAAAGCAATATTCACAAGCTTTCGTTCATACATTCCAACAAACATTAACACATACCAAAAGACACGTGTACGAACTGTCAAATTGCGTTATATAGTGCTGGCCGAAACTGGGCAGTTTAGGATCTGAGCTGTCACAGATGATACTCACAATATTTTCCCGCACATAGTCGTGAAATAGTTGTTCCTGCACTGATACGTCTGGATCCTCCCACATGGTGAACCGATTTTTTTAATATGTCCTTAGAAATCAGTCCACTGAATATTTTTACTCCCTCGACATTTCATGTGTGTAATGCACTTCGGCCATTGTTGTCATTTTCCCGATTTAAATAAAGTTTCTTCGTTTTTCCACGTGACTATCTATATTGCAATATTGTTCTTGTAAATGTATCAGTTGTGTATAGAATAAACTGTTGTTATATTATCCTCATGTAAAGATATATAATTGTGTATGGTTAGTACCCCCCATTAAATATTTCGCATGCATAAATTTCGATGAAATTTAATCTTCAAGAAATCCTTTTACATTAAAGCGAATTAGTCGTAACGAAATATGTTTAAGTGTATTCAGCAATCCCATAGTTCACTACGATATGTATTAAAAGCACTGCTTCCGGTAAATTGTCATTTCCTTCATAACAAGCGTCGAGGTAAGACGTGTGGTACTAGCTGTCAGGTTTATGTCAATGGCTGTGTCCAGTTTCATGTATTCGCTCTACACGAGGGGATTGTGAGCCAAGCCGCAGATTAGATAAAAGTGACAAGAAATAATTTTGATTAAACTCATCTCTTGCTATCCAACACTTGTATCGTGATACTGTTGACAAAATTGCATAACCATTTGTGGCACGGAAATTGAGATTAATCATAACAGTAAGCAAGGATCTAGGGCTGGGACGAGTCCAGATTTACTACCCGGGTACCCAACCCCTACTACCCGGGTACCCAACCCCTACTCCCCGACCCTACCCGGATACCCACTGTAGGCCTCAAGAGATAGGTACAAAATGTCCGATGGGGAATTTTTTTTACCATAACCCTGGCAAAACGTATTGAGACACATGTATTAAACAATCTGGTCATGCATACACTGAAGTTGGCTTAAGTTATATCTTTATTCAACCCTATGAAAAGTCAGATGGAATGGGTTTATAATTTTTGTCATTTAACAATATATCACATGACTAACCACGGGTCCGGTAGTTCTGTGGGTACCCGAGTCCTACTCAGTACCCACCTGACCCGGGTACCCGAGTTACCCGTCCCAGCCCTACAAGGATCAGTGTTTCATTCAACATTTGGGGCACATCATGAAAAGCAATGGAGCATTGTTTTACTGTGATTTGTAGATTATGCCAAATTTATTGGTTCCTTTGAAACGTTTCCAGTCAGAAACTGGTTAAGGCCCCGAAGCACAAAATAATAAAGAAACCAGGGCAACGATGAATAAAATCAACTGTTCATGTCCTGTTTTATTATGTTTATCTACACACCCCATATCCCATAAAAATATATTTCCTGAAAACTGTAATACTGTCATTTTCATGGCATTGTCTTACTGCCATAGTGTTTGTTGTGTGTTTGAGAGTACACATGTGTGAGAGTATTAAGCCCTGTTTGTTTGTGTTCTGCTTTGAGATATTGAATGTACATGTATGTGGATATATTTCAGATATCATGCCAGGACATACCAAAAACCGTTTTCTCCTCCTGTATGGCTCGCAGACTGGCCAAGCTAAAGCCATATCAGAGGAGATTTGTGAGAGAGCAGAAAAGGAGGGACTCCATGCTGAGACGCATTGTCTTAGTCAAACCGAAAAAAAGGTTATTTCGTCTGATAAACTTTAGATGTTGACCTACAGTATTTTTAACTGTTCTTGCAGTATCAACAATGTGTTTACCCCTGTTAAGCATACAAGTACCTCATTATGATCAGAACTCATAGTCAAGCCCTGTTAAAATGTGTGACTCATCAAGAGTATGTTATCAAAGTAAATTAACTAGTACAGAATTTATGTAACAGGCATTAGAAATGTATAAATTATTATCTAGTACAGAATTTATGTAACAGGCATGTATAATTTAGATGTTTTCTTTGTTTATATGTGAATTATTAGTAATTAAAAGAAGACGATTAGACGGTTAGGTATTGATTCTGATCATCGACTTTGTAAAATGTGTAGTTCAGGCTGCATTTAAGATGAAATACATGTCGTATTCAAATGTCCTGCATATTTTGATTTGAGACTTATGTACATCCCCGATATATGTCATGACAGTAACATGTCATTTCACTGATAAGGCTATTAAATTGTAATAGTAATCAGTTTGTTGTTATAAATGTAGCTAAATATATGACAAAACCCCTGAGTGTACGATTACGCAATCGTTATTGTCAAATCAATTATTGTCACAAATGCACACACATGCCACCTGAGAAAATTACTCATATAAATCATGTGTACATGAGCATTTTTTTAATAGTATGTCATCAGACAATCCTAACTGAACTCAAATGTTGATGCAATACATATATGGAGTCAGCAATATATGATACAGTTTTAAGTCCTTTGATGCAACCCCCCTCCCCCTCTCCCTAATCATAAATGACCAGTCCCTAAAATGATATCTAGTGTAAGTTCTCAATAGCAGTAAATACTGTTTTATTATGTGTATAATGCTCAAGCAAGGTATGATGAAAATGCATGAAACAGAATTTGTATATATTTTCATTTGGTCTTTTAGAAAAAAAAGAATTATATAAAATTTACATTTGAAAGTTATGAACAGCCAGTATGCACTAATTGAATAAAACATCAGATGTGTAGTCTTTCATTTTTCATTACCGGTATATATGTATCTTTTTTGTAATTGTTCAGTTGGTATGATTTCAGTTTAACATAGAGAAAGAAAGATGTGTTGTCATCGTCACATCAACAACCGGTGATGGAGAGCCCCCTGACACAGCCTGTAAGTTTGTGCGGAGGTTGAAGAAGAAGACACTAGCGGAGGACCACCTTGCTGGGCTCCATTACACCTTGCTAGGTATGGCTGTGTTGGCAGACTTCATGTTTCTTGACGCATCACGTAAAGCATCAGTCAGTGGTCAACACGTTTAGTAAACCTTGATGCTTGGTAACTTTAACTTAACTTAAGAGTCAACTAGCATGATCATTTTCTGTAGACTTTATTTGGAGTATCAACTATGCTCATAAAACAAAATAATTGGACTGCACCCAATCTTTGGATGTATGGCTAAAGTCACAGACTGTACTGTAAGTATAGTATGTATGTATTTGAGCAGGGAGGCTGATAAGGGGTCCAAGGTTTTACCACAGACTGATTGAAATGTAAATTTTAAACTTATCCTATCTCAAACTATGCATTTCTCATTCTTCTTTTGATCTTAAGTGGAAACATGCTTAAACAAAGCTTTCCAGCTTCAAAACAAAGCAATCCACCCAAACGTAGATTGCCTCACCATGGTTACCTCCCAACAACCTGGGTCCTGCACGCATGTACATGCGCTGAACACAGGGTTTCCCCAGCCAACTCATTCTCTTTCTTATTGCCACACTGTGGAGATTGTAATGATATTAGTGAATACATTTGTCTTTTTCATGATGTGCCCAGTTTACCTCAGTAATTGAGGGGAAATGGAAGTCGAACCTAAAATTGTCCGACTTGTCTTTGATAAAGAAAAACAGACGTGTAATTTCCACCTATGATTCACATGTTAGAGGTTGTGTTTGTTGCGCTTACAGCACCCAAAGCAAGACGTGTCTTCTGTGTTCCCATTTTACAGATAATTCTTTAGTTTTTACTTACACAGCTACAATGACCAGTGTTCAAAGTCTAAAGACACGCTGCCAATGACAAATCGGTATCCCAATTAAAATAGAAACCTGTGAGTAAAAACTCAATTGCTCAAAAATGTATCTGGAGCTCTGCATGACATTTTGACCCCCTCATCGTTTCCTGCACAGGGCGTTCCTCCGAGAGCCACAGCTCCTGTTTAACCTGAGGTTTCTACTGTGTCACCTGTCATCTGTGTCTTTTTCACACCTCTTTTGCTGCTGGCATCAACTACGCATCCGGTGCTTTTCCTTCCCCGGCCAATCTCGATCTTCTGCCCGGGAACGCCACTACAGCGGGAATCGATACTAGTACCTTCACATGGGCTTCTTCCCTTATGCATCGCTAGGCTGTTATGCATCAGTAGTCATTATACAGATTACAATCTATGTGTGATTACTATCGATATACGCCTCATCAGGAGTGAGTTGGATACACAGATCGACGTCGACTTTGTCTCAACCTCCCCGAGATAGATTTATAACCTATCTTCACAATTTACAAGCATTTGGTGGATCAGCTGTTCAATGATTTGTTGAAGAATTCTGTACTTTCTTCAACCAAAAAACCTATGCAGACAGGTCTCCCTCATTATCGTCCCTCCCTCATCTTTTTCCCAAACCACATCATCAACCATAACTTCCCTTTTATGAAGGGGTACGCTCTATCAGTTTTATTCTCCTCAGCCGATGTTTCCCACCTGTACAGTGACCATGGCTGAAGTGCGCAAGGACACACGTTCGCCTTTTAGAGTTGTTCTGTCTTCAGCTGACCATCAACCCATACTTTTTACTTAGCCCTAGAAAGAGAATGAGTTGACTGGGGAAACCATGTGTTAAGCGTGTGTAGGTCAACCGGCACGAAAAGCGTGCAGGACCCAGATAGTTGGGAGGTAACCATGGTGATGCGAAGGTGTGTTCGGGTGGTTGCTATGTTAGAACGTGGAAAGCTTTGTTTAAGCATGTTTCCACTTAGGATTGAAAGAAGAATGAGAAATGCATAGTGTGAAATAGGATAAGTATGTAAATATACAATCTATTGTAAAATTTACATTATTTTCATTAGATACAATTATGTTCTGGTATCAGTTACTAGTACAAGCCTATCATGCCTATATCTGCTGTTATGAGGAATTGTTCATGCTACAGGCCTGGGAGATTCCAACTACACCAACTTCTGTAACTGTGGGAAGACAATTGATCGGCGTTTGGAGGATCTAGGTGCTGTCAGATTCTACAACAGCGACTGGGCCGATGATGCTGTGGGGTAAGTTGTTGGCTATTGTTAATGTAGATGCAGGGTTAAAATTAATTTTAGTTGTTACCTATCCTGAATAATTACATCCACAGAGTTGCCATATTCCTAATGGTAAAAGTAGTAGACCATATGGAAATGTCACTAGGCCTTCCTAAATGTTACAAGACATAGACAAGTACAGTCAAGTCCCGTTAATCCAACATCGTTGGTTGCATATGATTATGTCGGATTAACGAATAAGTCAGATAAACAAAATTAAGTAGTACCAACGTTCGTGTTTGAAAATTGGACAACTACACGATAGGTAATGATACAAACATGTAAAAAAAAAAGAAAAATGAAATATTCATATTGTTATATTACTTTATTAGCTGAATGTGTTTTCTAATCATGTAACCTCTTAAGCTTAGCACAAAACAACTGTTACAGACTGTATGACTGTACTATCTGCTTGACCATGATCTGTCAAAGAAGTTTGACAGTGGAATGACATTCTAAATGGTAGACTGTTTTGTTTTATCCTGAGTAACATATAGCTTGGTAAGGACAGCAAGGCAAATGGTCTCTATAGATGTCTGCTGCTTTATGTTTGTGTTTCCTAAACAAAGTTATGTTCATGTATGTCCAAGACAATGTATCTCTTCATTGGTATGTACTTCCAGCTTGGAGGTTGTAGTGGAGCCATGGATTGACGGATTGTGGGCTGCTCTCAGAAAATTTTTGGATTTACCAGAACCTGATGATCCAGGAAGGTCTGAAGTTGTTGAGTGTTGTGAGAACTCTGATAACAACACCTCCATCCCATCAGGGGACACACAAAGTAATATCCAGTCAAGTCTTCGTCAGAATGGGAACACATCTCTTGAAGCAACAGAATCTCAAGTCCCTGCCATGACTGACCTGTCAAGGGAGACAACTGTGACCAGTGTGACTGATTCTGTGACAGCCTTGACTTTAAATGATGACAAGAATAATCATATAAAAAATAGCAATACACCTTCACATACTTCAGAGGTTTTGATTATTGATCAAAACAATTTACTCAACAGGACTAATAAAGAGACTTCATTAGCAGCTCAGAATAGGACTGAGAATTCAGCTCAGAAAGGGACTGACCAGTCAGCTCAGAATGTGTCCATAGAAAAGCAGACAGTCGCATCTACCTCTGACACAACGCAAGGAGACTGTTCCGTCTCCACCTGTGTACCGAGTCTGTGTGTTTCTGTTCCGCCACTGTGTGAGAGTGATCTGTCTGTTCCAGCTCTCCCGCCTGCGTTCCTCACCTGCACCCATATGCCCGAGAACACTTTGGTCAGTTAAAAGTTCACCTGTTGTGTCATGTTTAGGCCAGACATTATTATTATTATTATTAGTAGTAGTAGTAGTAGTAGTAGTAGTAGTATTAGTTCTTCATAAATGGATCTGAATATATTGCCATGTGAGCAGTAAGGCTTGTGCCATCAGTCTTGCATGTTTTCCTCTCACTTGAATATTTTCATTACTTGATCATGCTTATGTAAAACTGCACCTCATTTCAGGATACAACTTCATTGCCAATGCAAAATGGCTCTAAGTTTCCGTCTGCTTCAAGTGATGTCGCCATGGTTACTGTTGAAGATGCAGAAGTCCTCACAAGGGATGATGCTGTCAAGAAGACCTTGCTGCTCTCTTTAAACACTGAGGTAAGTAAAATAATGAAGCAAGAATGAAATAAACAGGAGCAATAAGCTGAATAAGTCTTACTCTGTGGTCGAAACTCAGTTATTCACATGTCAGTATGCCTTGCTGAGTGCTGCGTAAATAATCTGCACTCACTGGTTGTTATTCAGTTGTGGCAGTCATCCATTATCCAACGGAATGAGACCGCCTCTGTGGTCTTGTGGTAGAGCGTCCGCCCGGAGAGCGGAAGGTCCGGGGTTCGATCCCCGGCCGCATCATACCAAAAGACGTTAAAAGATGGTACTTGTTGTTACCCTGTCTGGCGCTCAGCATTAAGGGGCTAAAACAAGGACTGGTCGGCTCGGAGTCAGTATACTGTGTCTGAGTGGGGTATTCATGTTAAACTGCGGCATGGTATCTCAGTGAGCTAGCGACCGCCTCCGTGGTCTAGTGGTAGAGCGTCCGCACGGAGAGCGGAAGGTCCGGGGTTCGATCCCCGACCGCGTCATACCAAAAGACATTAAAAGATGGTACTTGTTGTTACCCTGTCTGGCGCTCAGCATTAAGGGGCTAAAACAAGGACTGGTCGGCTCGGAGTCAGTATACTGTGTCTGAGTGGGGTATTCATGTTAAACTGGGGCATGGTATCTCAGTGAGCTAGCACTATAAATCGGCATCAGTCCGGACTAGTACAAGCAGCCACACACAGGTACATGCACGTCGCTATATAAGTGTAATAATCTTGGACGCGACGTTAAACCCCATTTCACCTCACCTCCAACGGAATGAAGTACTAAGTATGGTGCATTCAACTTCAGAAAGATCTGTGTGAATGTTGGATTCTTGTTGAATTAACAGTTTAAGAAAGAATCTGATGCTGATCTCTTTGTTGTGCAGGGGAGTGGGCTGACTTATGAGGCTGGCGATGCTGTGTCTGTCGTCTGCCCTAACGACCCTCAGGAAGTGGACAGGCTGTTGGACAGGTAATATGGAGAGTTGGTTGTTCTACACTGGTTGAACAACAGAGGATATATTGTGACTGGTTGCATATTTCACTGTTACAAAAGTTGCTGCAGAGTTGTGTCCCTTACTTAGGCATACAAGAGGCCATGAGAAGGTTTTGGGCCTGGCATATCTAGATTTTTGTTTTGCTTATGTGTGACTTACATATGAGTATTAAACTTTGTAGAGTAACTTTCCCAATTTGGCATGATTCAGTTCCATGATATGGACTCATATTAGACTCTAAGCTACCCTTCTCTTTAGATTTGGAGACCCGTGAAGATCCATGGTAGAACAGGTCTTCAGTAAGCCATGCTTGCTGTAAAAAGCGACTATGCTTGTCATAAGAGGCAACTAATGGGATCGGGTGGTCAGGCTCGCTGACTTGGTTGACGCATGTCATCATATCCAAATTACGTGGATCAATGCTCATGATGTCAATGACTGGATTGTCTGGTCCAGACTCGATTATTTACAGACCGCCGTCCTATAGCTGGAATATGGCTAAATGCAGCGTTAAAAACAAACAAATCAAACATACAAAACTTTAGGATTGAAATAGACAAAGCTGAGTAGAAAGCTGTCCTCGGAGTCGTTTCCCAGAGAGGGTCAACCACCAAAGAATACTGACCGCGTGCTGGTTGCATTCTTGTTTATGAGGATGCTTCTCCATCCTATGCCTCAATTTACTTTGGGTGAAGGAATTTAAGTGTTGGATGGAGGATTTGGAAGATGACCCCTGCTCAAGGCCCTGTTCCACAAAGCGATCATGATCATAACTCTCATAGGCTTACGACAGTTGTAGCGCTATGATTGCTTTGTGGACGAGGCCCTGGTCAACCCACCACCACTAACACTAAAGAAGCCATCTATACCTGGCATTAAGCAATAGGCTTATTACACTTAGAGTTTGACGAGACCACCGGTTTCCCTTATGGGTCTATAGAAACAATCCTTCAGGAACATTGACATATATCAAAGGTTTGTACCTGATGATTTCCGTGAATGCTATCGGATGAAATGAAGCCTGCACAAGTCATCACATCTAATGCCCCTAAAATAAGATATATTCACAACCCAAATGATTTTCATTTTGGGCCAGTGACAGAGCTGATCGTAAAGCGATCGTAATGCTACGACTGTCATTAGTCTATGTTAAAGTATGGGAGTTATGTATACCAATATCACAATGATCCCGAGAGAAAACAAGAACCCTTCGAGTGGTTCCACTTTGGGAATCAATTCCAAAAAAGTCTAAATCAGCCAGATCCAATAAGAAAGTTATGGCCACCTTCTTCTGATGATAGCAAAGGCATTAAACAGATCGATTATTTACCACACTGAACAGCTATGCACCCTTCTGCTTTATCAAAAATTGAAGAGGGTGAAGGGGAAAGTTAGAAAGTTCACAGGGTTATGGATTCTTGTGTTGAATATGGAGGAAGTTTATGTATGGGATAATTTTTTGTGCTAGATGGATGGAGTTTTGCGCTAGATGGATAGAGTTTTGTGCTGGTGGGGGTTTGTATGTGCCTTTGAGTTTTGTGCTACAGGGACATAGTTTAGTTCCGAGTGAGGAATTAGGTGAGTGAGAATGTTGTGCTAGAGGGACATAGTTTAGTTCCGAGTGAGGAATTAGGTGAGTGAGAATGTTGTGCTAGAGGGACATAGTTTAGTTCCGAGTGAGGAATTAGGTGAGTTAGAATGTTGTGCTAGAGGGACATAGTTTAGTTCCGAGTGAGGAATTAGGTGAGTTAGAATGTTGTGCTAGAGGGACATAGTTTAGTTCCGAGTGATGAATTAGGTGAGTTAGAATGTTGTGCTAGATGGAATGATGTTACATTGGTCTACAGTGCCTTGGATTAACTTTTGTGGTGATCAGATTCGATAGAATGTGTGACACTGTATGTCAAAAGTCATTGGCATGAAAAAATACCAGAAATTTATGCCCTCATATTAACTGTCGATCTCATACAGATACCTAGGTTATGGCTAACAGCTACCAGACTGACTCACGCACTCTATTATGCTCAACTCTTCTCTTCTGTGTGTCATGTTTGTGTAAAGATGACTACGGTTCCATTTTCAGACTTGATCATGCAAGTGATGCTGACTCAACTGTAGAGCTGAGTGTGATCCCGGGGACCAAGAAGAAGAATGCTACCATTCCTGCTCACATTCCTCCTCTGTGCTCCCTCAGACACATCTTCCTCACATGTGTCGACATCCGGGACCAACCCAAGAAGGTGAGACCCTTTCCACTGCCCTATAGACTCTCACTGTCTCCTCTCTCAGAGTGTGCACCCTCAGACACATATTCCTGTCATGTCGACATCTGTGGCCAAAGCAGGAAAGATTTAACTTTTCCTCATGCCAAACACCCAGATTTAAGTCCCCAAATGCCTTCTCTGTTAAACACCCTACTCACTGTTCTACACTGAAGGCTGCTTGTACCTTACATTTGATAGCATATGGATATTATTGATGGTACAAAGTAACTACAGAATAGTCATATGTGTAATTTCCAGGCACTGCTGAGGATATTTGTGGAGTTTACAAGCGATGATTGTGAAAAACGACGTCTCCAGGAACTTTGCAGCAAACAAGGAGCGGGAGATTACGCTACTTTCATCCGAGAGTCCAGATTGTCTCTACTGGATGTTCTTACTGCCTTCCCCTCATGTCACCCGCCGGTGGAGAGGGTCATCGGTGAGATGTATTTTAATGTTGTTTTTTGGCTGTGGTGTAGAGATTCTCTGTCAGGCACCCTAAAAATTGCTATGCCTTGAAGGGTAGGAGTAGTAAGGATATATGAGTACTGCAATGCTATCCTATCCCAGTTATGCTTCTTGCTGACTCATCATCTCCTGTGTTTCAGAACAACTCCCCAGACTTCAGCCCAGGCCTTATTCAGTGTGCAGGTAGGTTGACCCATCAACAGCAGAGAATTGTGTATGATGAAAGGGGCATACATGTATGCATGGTAACCTGCTATTATTACTATCCTGCTAAAACAGTATGCTGTTTGCTCCTTATCCACAACAGTGAAAACAGCTCTAACACACCCTTGAAGTCAGTCATACATACAAGTTAAGTGTCCTTGATCTTCCTCTTGCCTCGAATCGTTATATTGCATGGAATGTTGTTGTCTTGAGCTCTGTGATATCCTTCATAACTTCATGTTTTGCGTGGTTAGAGTACAGTTAGTGTTGTTATTTATAATTCTTTATTGGCTCCAGTTGTATGGTTCAAAGAATTTTTTATATCTACCACTGTTTTAATCGTAGAGGCAAAGATTTTTTGCTTCAAATATGAACTATGTTTGGTCCTCAGTTCTCCTCAGACACAACTCAACAGACTCAACATTGTCTTCAACATCGTGTGCATCCCTGGCACTGATGGAAGATCAGCCCCCAGGAAGGGTGTGTGCACTGGTTGGCTGGATACTATCACCATGGCAACACAAACCAACGACAGTTGTCAGAACAAGGAGGGGAATGATCTCAAGGTACATCAGACAATTTAGTAAATCTGTTTCATTATATCTTTTGATGGGGGAATATTATTCTAATGAATGATATTATAAAATAATAATAGTAAATATTCTATAGTGATATGATTCAAAGTAAATATATTTGTGAGAAACGCGTCATCCTTCTCAGGTTAACCGTTTTTATTTACTGATTGCAGGTTCCCATATTTACACGCACCAATCAGCTTTTCCGGTGTCCAGAAGATGTTTCTGTGCCCATCATTCTGATTGGTCCAGGAACAGGCGTTGCTCCCTTCATTGGCTTCCTCCAGCATAGAGCATGGCAGAGGAGCCAGTCAGAAGCAGACGTGCCATATGGGCAGACGTGCCTATTTTACGGGTGTCGACATCAAGACAGAGATTACCTCTTCAGGTATTTCTGATGTTATTTGGAGGAAGAAATTTGTCCGGTATAGCTGTGTTGAGCTCAGTCATTCTAATTCTGTCAATTCTCCAACAAGATTACACGGATAAGACTTTGGGCTTTCAAAAATAGCAAAACATTCTAAATTCTGATTCTACCACCAACTTGTGAATTCTTGCCACAACAAATCTGGACTGATTTGGGACAAATCCTTTGCAAGTATTTACAGAATGCTGGTTCAGTAAGTTACTAACCAGGTTATACTATCACAGCCTGGCAATATTTTGGATGTGCAAGCATTGTTTATAACATGACCCTTTGCAGCATTATGTTAGCTTCAGTTTTTCAATACGTGTGTCATGTGATTAATTGTGCAGTGTTGTGATAATAATCTTTGGTCAGTGAGCACCGTCCCCAAGCTCATGGGTTTCACCAAAGTGGTAAACATCTGAGACCAACATCACTTAAGGCTTTCATTCCACATTTAGCCAACACACCTTGATATAATTTAATTACTATTTAAAATTAGCATTAAACCAAACTCACGCACAGTTCAAAGACCACTGCAAAAATAATCAATTTTCTTTCATAATTCAGAGAATGAAAATCATCACATCATCTTTACCTCACATTATTTTAGAAAGTGATTGTGGTCTTAGGTTAGGATATCACTTGCTATATTTACAGGCAGGTGTTTAGATACATATATATCTCAGTACAAGCAAGAACACTTTGGGTTTGTTTCAGGAAAGAGTTACAAGAGTTTCAAGAATCAGGAGTCCTCAGCCATCTGTTTGTCAGCTTCTCCAGGGATGGTCAGCCGGAAGGCTCCCCCAGATATGTACAAGACCAGCTCCTGCAGCAAGGGGAGCTAACTCTAGATCTGATTGAGAAACAGGGTGCTGTTGTGTATGTATGTGGTGATGCTCGCAACATGGCCAAAGACATAACCAATGCCTTTGTACAGATTTTGAAGGAACATCAGGGTAAGTGTGACAGAGAAGGTTTTAGGTTTAGTTTAGTTTTAGAATATCACCAAATCTTGAAATGTGAGCTAATAAGTTTCTAGTATTTCGTGTACTCAGAATATATAACTCTAAAACAGTCATGTTCTGTACACAGTCCGCTGTGCAAAATTGCATCCCTTGGGCACACCAGAAGGCTATTATCATGGGTTCGAATCCCAGTTCGCTCGATCATGTTTCTAGGTTTGTCAGCACCACGCCTGGGCTCTTGGGTATCACAATAGTGGTAAACGTCTGAGACCTGGGTCACTAAGGGTTTTCCTCTGGCATTAAGCTGACAGGCCGTGATATAACTGAAATACTGTTAAGAGCGGCATTAAACCCAACTCACTCACTCACTGATTATGTTATGTACGCTCTCATTTGACCAAAGTGTTGCAAGAGTAGTTACTGCATCAATAATCAAGCTTACTACAAGAAGAAGACTGTGAGGTGATCACCTTGTTTATTACAGTTTAAGTGACATTTCATTATATATCTCAGTGGCAGATACTCCCAACCACCCCCTTTTGAAAATAACATGTGGCCCCCACTCTTATTATTGAAATACATGTATATGCCATGCATGTGTCTGTCAACACACTGCCTCAGTGGTCTAGTGGATAGAGTATCTGCCCATTGGTTTACTCCCCTGTTGCTGTCATACCAAAAGACGGTACTTAATGATACAGTGGCTTGTGCTTGGCATAATGGGACAAAAACAAGGACTGATAGCCTCAGAGCCACTTTACAATGTCAGAGTTGGGTATCCATGGTAAACTGCAACATGGTATCTAAGTGTCCTATTCTATAAAACCAGCATAAGTCCTGACTAGTACACGCAGTCACACGTGTGCATGCACGTCGCTATATAAGTGCAATAATCTTGAACGTAACATTAAAACACATTTCATGTCACCTCTTGTTGACATAAGATCATGGCGCCGCCTCTATATTCTATCTTATTCTACACAAAAATGTTTGCTGTCGATCATCATATGTTGTCATGGGCTGACATGTTAAAGCCACTGAAAGATAACAGTCTGTCTGTGGTTATGTAATAATAATGTATTGATATTTTGAAATATAAGCACAAGTTTGTTGAGGCAAATAAGTACAGGGGCTATGGGGGGCTATGAACATTAGGACTCACTCACTCACTCACTCACTCACCCAAGCACTCACTCACTCACTCACTCACTCACTCACCCAAGCACTCACTCACTCACTCACTCACTCACTCACTCACTCACTCACTCACCCAAGCACCCACCCACTCACTCACTCACTCACTCACTCACTCACCCAAGCACCCACCCACTCACTCACTCACTCACTCACTCACTCACCCAAGCACCCACCCACTCACTCACTCACTCACTCACTCACTCACCCAAGCACCCACCCACTCACTCACTCACTCACTCACTCACTCACTCACTCACTCACTCACTCACTCACTCACTCACATCTCTGTTGCAGGTATGAGTGACACTGATGCCTCAGGGTACCTGATGAAGATGAGACTACACAAGAAGTATCTAGAAGATGTGTGGACATAGACTGGCGGACAGACACAGTCAAGACATGTGGACATAGACTGGCGGACAGACACAGTCAAGACATTATGTGGACATAGACTTCCGGACAGACACAGTCAAGACATGTGGACATAGACTGGCGGACAGACACAGTCAAGACATGTGGACATAGACTGGCGGACAGACACAGTCAAGACATGTGGACATAGACTGGCGGACAGACACAGTCAAGACATGTGGACATAGACTTCTGGACAGACACAGTCAAGACATGTGGACATAGACTTCTGGACAGACACAGTCAAGACATGTGGACATAGACTTCTGGACAGACACAGTCAAGACATGTGGACATAGACTTCTGGACAGACACAGTCAAGACATGTGGACATAGACTTCTGGACAGACACAGTCAAGACATGTGGACATAGACTTCTGGACAGACACAGTCAAGACATGTGGACATAGACTTCTGGACAGACACAGTCAAGACATTATGTGGACATAGACTTCTGGACAGACACAGTCAAGACATGTGGACATAGACTGGCGGACAGACACAGTCAAGACATGTGGACATAGACTTCTGGACAGACACAGTCAAGACATTATGTGGACATAGACTTCTGGACAGACACAGTCAAGACATGTGGACATAGACTGGCGGACAGACACAGTCAAGACATGTGGACATAGACTGGCGGACAGACACAGTCAAGACATGTGGACATAGACTTCTGGACAGACACAGTCAAGACATTATGTGGACATAGACTGGCGGACAGACACAGTCAAGACATGTGGACATAGACTGGCGGACAGACACAGTCAAGACATGTGGACATAGACTGGCGGACAGACACAGTCAAGACATGTGGACATAGACTGGCAGACAGACACAGTCAAGACATGTGGACATAGACTTCTGGACAGACACAGTCAAGACATGTGGACATAGACTGGCGGACAGACACAGTCAAGACATGTGGACATAGACTTCTGGACAGACACAGTCAAGACATGTGGACATAGACTGGCGGACAGACACAGTCAAGACATGTGGACATAGACTTCTGGACAGACACAGTCAAGACATGTGGACATAGACTGGCGGACAGACACAGTCAAGACATGTGGACATAGACTTCTGGACAGACACAGTCAAGACATGTGGACATAGACTGGCGGACAGACACAGTCAAGACATGTGGACATAGACTTCTGGACAGACACAGTCAAGACATGTGGACATAGACTGGCGGACAGACACAGTCAAGACATGTGGACATAGACTTCTGGACAGACACAGTCAAGACATGTGGACATAGACTTCTGGACAGACACAGTCAAGACATGTGGACAAAGACTTCTGGACAGACACAGTCAAGACATGTGGACATAGACTGGCGGACAGACACAGTCAAGACATGTGGACATAGACTTCTGGACAGACACAGTCAAGACATGTGGACATAGACTTCTGGACAGACACAGTCAAGACATCTGGACATAGACTTCTGGACAGACACAGTCAAGACATGTGGACATAGACTTCTGGACAGACACAGTCAAGACATGTAGACATAGACTTCTGGACAGACACAGTCAAGACATGTGGACATAGACTTCTGGACAGACACAGTCAAGACATGTGGACATAGACTTCTGGACAGACACAGTCAAGACATGTGGACATAGACTTCTGGACAGACACAGTCAAGACATGTGGACATAGACTGGCGGACAGACACAGTCAAGACATGTGGACATAGACTGGCGGACAGACACAGTCAAGACATGTGGACATAGACTGGCGGACAGACACAGTCAAGACATTATGTGGACATAGACTTCTGGACAGACACAGTCCAGACATGTGGACATAGACTTCTGGACAGACACAGTCAAGATGTGTGGACATAGACTTCTGGACAGACACAGTCAAGACATTATGTGGACATAGACTGGCGGACAGACACAGTCCAGACATTATGTGGACATAGACTTCTGGACAGACACAGTCAAGACATGTGGACATAGACTGGCAGACAGACACAGTCAAGACATGTGGACATAGACTGGCGGACAGACACAGTCAAGATGTGTGGACATAGACTTCTGGACAGACACAGTCAAGACATGTGGACATAGACTGGCGGACAGACACAGTCAAGACATGTGGACATAGACTGGCGGACAGACACAGTCAAGACATGTGGACATAGACTGGCGGACAGACACAGTCAAGACATTATGTGGACATAGACTTCTGGACAGACACAGTCCAGACATGTGGACATAGACTTCTGGACAGACACAGTCAAGATGTGTGGACATAGACTTCTGGACAGACACAGTCAAGACATTATGTGGACATAGACTGGCGGACAGACACAGTCCAGACATTATGTGGACATAGACTTCTGGACAGACACAGTCAAGACATGTGGACATAGACTGGCAGACAGACACAGTCAAGACATGTGGACATAGACTGGCGGACAGACACAGTCAAGATGTGTGGACATAGACTTCTGGACAGACACAGTCAAGACATGTGGACATAGACTGGCGGACAGACACAGTCAAGATGTGTGGACATAGACTTCTGGACAGACACAGTCAAGACATTATGTGGACATAGACTGGCGGACAGACACAGTCCAGACATTATGTGGACATAGACTGGCGGACAGACACAGTCAAGACATTATGTGGACATAGACTGGCGGACAGACACAGTCAAGACATTATGTGGACATAGACTGGCAGACAAACAGAAAAAAGGCAGACAGACAGACACACAGACATGAAGATGAGGTTACACAAAAAGTATCCAGACTTTGTGTGAACACAGACAGACCCCTAGGAAACTCAAATCTTTGTATTACTAATGCAGGCAGCACACTCAGATGTGTATGTATTTCTGGAAAAATCTCTAAAATCAAGGTGGTTTGTTTTTCAGCCCTTGACTTTTTATAAGATTGGTTTTGGCAGGGTTATCCTTGTGTTTGTTAGTGAGAGTAACTCCACAGGGTCGGAGTTTTCTCTTTGTTTTTGTCAGACAACAGAAATACTGCTGGAATGTTTTACTTATATGTGGCCACTTTTATTTTGTTTATTTCTATTTATTAGATCATTAAAGGGCTCTTTTTACAAGTCAGTGTTTTAAGTGGTTTTCGATGCAAACTGGAATTATGGGCTGGATGGCCTGCATTCTTAATAAACATTGATTGATTGATAGATACGCACGCACTTACAATCAGTAATTGATCTGGAACCTGTTCCACAAATCGATATTAGTGCTAAGTTGGTCGTAACTCCCATACTTTATCATAGGCTTACGATCAACGTAGCACTTAGATCGCTTTGTGGAACAGGGCCCTGTACAGAAGGTCTGTTGTGGACCTTTGTAGGAAACAGTGGTAGAAACTCACTCTTCTACCCAGAGTTCCATGCGGCCGGCAGCCAGCCAGCATAGTACCTCTGCCACAGGCCAGCGCCATGTGACGATTCATCACATCTTTCACAGTCCATTCAAGATATTGCATATGCTTTTCATCCGTTTCATGTTTGACAAGTCTACACATTTTCATAAACAAATGTCAAAGAATGGTTACGGTTCATTAAGAAAGTATGCTAATACGTGAAAATCTACTTGTTTTTTCGTAGTTATCCTTTGTTTACATTGGGTGTACGGCTCCACGTGCTGTCATCGAAACCCAACGGAGAGCTAGCGATACGGCCACTTTGATGCATAAATATATATTGTCATGCAACTCACTGTCGCAGTTGAGGTAGCATATCTATATAATTATGCAAAACAATATGTAAAGCGCCCCATAATACTTGCTTCAGTCCGTTCTATACTGATTTCTGAAAAAGCGCGTTTGTTTACAAACAAGAGAAAAGTCCGGTCACGTGATATGCAAATTAGCCTGTGGCAGTGGTGTTATGCTGAGTCACCACTGCGCCGGAATGTGGTAGAAACTGGCACTAGTCCTGTAGTCCTTGCCAAACTGCCCAATAGTTAAGGTATCATAAGGACTAGTAGCAATTTGCCATTAATAAGGGTTTTGCTATATGTTATCATTATAAGGACTAGTGGACTAAAAATGTTAGTTTCTACCCCTGGGAAACCTGCTGTGAGGATTGACAGACATTCCGTTTCCCAATGGTGACATCCACCAAGTCAGATGATTGGTGTAAAACTCATCCAAGTGAACCTGCATGCTGTTGGAAGTGTTGTGATGGAAGATTGTGTTGTAAGAGGTTATTTTGTTGGATTAACAGTAATTAAGCAGCTTTCTTTCCCCTCGATTTGTTTGGGCAACAGGTCTGAAACTACTTGTTCATAATAAATACTTGCCCTCAGCAACAAACATTTGATTATTTGTAGGGTTTGTTGTAAGTATTATTGATGAGAATTATCTGCACACATCCTTGAGAATGGTTCTCACGTCTTTGTTTGGCCTGATTGTCCAGGGCCTGTCGGCATCTGTAAACATCTTTTCAGAAACTACTAGATAAAGGAAGCTAAAACCTTCACATGCTTGTTCCCAACATATGTTTCTTATATTTTTCACAATTGACATATTTTTTTAACCTGTTTACTTTGACCATGCTCCAAAATTCTCTCAAAATGCACTCGTGGCTCTGTAAAATATCGCCTCGGTAACCACTGCACCAATGAAGCTGAAACCTTCACGTTTCTTCCCAAAATGATGACACCTGAATTTGTTGAAGTTGTTCGAAAATTATGTTCAACATGGCTGCCATAAATAACTAATTTATTGCCACTGCCGAGGATATGACGTCACGTAATGCTCTTAAAATTCACTCAAAATGCATTTGTAGCTCTGCGAAAATCTTTTCTGAAATTGCCAGACTGACGACTTTGATCTTTGGCATGTTTTTTTCTTTTGATGACATATGTTATTTAAATGATAAGGATTTTACTGTGTTGTTTGTGAAACAAATGGAAAAATTGTACAGAATTTGGACAATTATTCTCCTTAGAAATCATGTGTCAGAGATGAAATTGTGTAAAGTAATTTAACAGTTGTACATTGCAACATTGTTGTACAATAGTACGTTTCATTTGTTTATACTTTTGTCCTCAGTGTTTATGCAGAAATATTTGAATAGGAATGCCAACAGCAACTTTTATTATTTTGTTGACATTTTAAACTTAACTAGGGGAACTGAAGCACTATTTGATATTTTGGGGTTTACAAATCAACCTATCATAGCTCTAAACCACACCGCCAAGTAGTACCCACAATATTGCCACGATTTACTCCACCTTCTTCATTTATCAATGGATGAGGAAACTGGAAGGAACCCTCCACCTACCAGATCAGTTTATTGCATTATATGTTGGTGACTCACACAAACCCTTCTGGAAGGTTATTATATCTATCTTTCTTATATCAGAATAGACTGTATGTGTTTAGTTTTCAGTATATGTTTGATAGAACATTTTATTTTATTCCTGCTTACAAAATGTCAAGCAGATTAAATGAGAGTAATATTTTGGGGGTCAAAGGTATTTTTTATAATGACCCATTCTTACTGTGGCCTTTACCATGTTAACACTCAAATTATTCCTTTCTACACAGTTTCTATGACAATTTTTGGGGGATTTGTCTTTTAGTAAATGAATTCCACATATTGCATGTTTTATCATTGGATTGTCTGGACCAGACTTGATTATTTACAGACCTCCATCATATAGCTGGAATATTGCTGAGTGCAGCGTTAAAATAACAAACAACAACAACCATGCCAGGATAGTGCGTGAAGCTCTCAAGCTCACCTTGCCCACCTTGCCCTGCAGGGAGCTTGTTGAAGTCTGCCTGGAACGACAGGGCATGGTTGGCTGTTTGTTGCAAGAATGTACAGGGGTTTTCAGAGATCAGGCTCATGGCTGTGAAATGACTTGATGAAATTCATTAAAATAGATTTCAATACAACACTTCCTTGTTTGTCATTTAATCTGTGAAAATACCTGTGAAGATCCGGATTAGAATAGGTCTTCACAAACCCATGCTTGCTGTAAGAGGCGACCAACGGGATTGGGTTGTCAGGCTCGCTGACTTGGTTGATGCATGTCATCGTATCCCAATTGCTTAGATCGATATTCTTTACAGACTGCTGTCATATAGCTGGAATATTGCAATGTGAGTGTGACGTTAATCCAGAAAGAAACTAATCCGTGAAATGTTGAAAATGAGGACAGTGAAAAAGTTTGTATTGGGTATTGTACACTGGGTATATGAGCACATTTCAAACCCAGTGTCCTTTCCTTCAACTCTTGTGATAATTTAAAATATAGTGTATGCATTTGTGCAAATTTTGTTCAACTGTAAAGTGTAACTCTTACTGCAATGAAACAATGACAGGCTAATAACGATAACGATACCAGGCACCAAAAGAAACTACATGTAATTTGTGTCTTAATTTTTTAGTCGATCTGTAGGGATCTGTGGGGATGAAACAATCGCACCACCTTCACACATGCATTGGTAGGTCATGTGACCCATTTGAAACATTGTACACGTTAATCCATGTGAAACTATTTTCTGTCATTGATTTTGCAAGTTGATAGTGGGCTCATTCAATTGTTCACCATTAGACATTGATCAGAACATTACCGTCATGCAACGTCAGTCAAACACAGAGTAACCAAGCAATTGGAATGCTATGAGTTTTAAGATCAGGATGTTGCTAGGCACTTTAACTGTCATCGAAAAACGCCATTTCATTCAGAGGAATCTAGATTTCAAGTGTCAAGTTCCCATGGTCGCCAGCGCAAGTATTGCTATAGAGTTGAGAATTAATCTCAGGAATGTGTTCTTGAGAGAAATTGTTTGGGTGGCGGCTCGGATGGTATGGGGAAGAATTACAGTACGCAGTCAAACGTTCCCATCATTCAAGGAAACTTGACAGCTCTTGCATGTCATGACTCCAGTCATTCTGCTTTTCCTTCAACATCGCTGGGGGGCACGGGTGGACCAGTCGTCTAAGGCTCCGCGATTCGCAGTGCAGAGTTGCGTCCCTTGGGCACGCCAGAAACCTATGATTGTGGATTTTGCCCCGATTATGTTTCTAGGTTTGTCAGCACCATATCCATGCCCGTGCTCGTGGGTTTCACCGAAGTGGTAAACTTCTGAGACCTGCATCACTTCGGGCTTTCCATGACACGCCATGATACAACTGGAATACTGTTAAAAGCGGTGTTGAACCCAGCTCACTCACAATTCGCTGTGCAGAGTTGCGTCTCTTGGACACGCCAGAAACCTATGATTATGGGTTCGAATCCTGGTTTGCTCCGATTATGTTTCTAGGTTTGACAGCACCATACCCCTGCCACAATCGGCCACAGATTTGTCTGGTCAAGCCTTACAGAGCACCTTGAGTGAGAGAGAAGGGTTTAACGCCATTTTTAGCAGTATTTTAGCAGTTTCACACCGGTGGTACCAGAAATGGACTTCACAATTTGTACCTATGTGGGAATAGACCCTGGGTCTTCATGGCAATGTTTTCACCACTAGGCTACCCCACAGATGACCTTCACATTGCTGTAACATTGCTGACTTGAGTGAAGAAATCACTCATAAATGTTGCTTTATCAGTACAATAGTATGGTTACACAAAATTAATTATCATGAGCTATCACCAACCACAGCATACCATCACCATCTAGGCCTGACCATGCTATCATTGGCCTGTCCGTACATAGCTGCAATACTACTGGTGAGGTTCACTGCAGTATTTACTCACATCCATGTGTCAGCATCTGTACAAGTTGGTCATAAAGCATCCTTCCAAGTATTGCCTGTGCTGCAGAAAAGGGTGCACAGGCAACCTGAACTATCCCTTCTGATGATAAGCTCAGAGCATGTCGAACCTGCACAATCCCCACATCTATCAGTGTATGTTGTACATCATTATGTGATTAGATCAACAACAGACAAATAAGTGACTTCTGTTTATTTCAAGCCTTTCAGACATACATCTATTGAGCACTGTATCTGGTTTCAAAAAACAACTTTCATCAAGTCTCCGGCATCTGCTACAACCAGGATCTGTCTCCGGGGACAAAACACAGAAAAACATATCACTTCCACTACTAGAATATGAAGATCAACTCCAGATATGACAAAGATGAATAAAGTGAATATCTGCTAAATCCAAGACATCTAAGATCTGAATATGTATTTGATTCCAAAGGCACTTGCAGTATAAGAAAGAAACCACAAAATTGATTCCTACAGCCGATGTGGTATCTTCCTGAGGCAAGGGAGTTAACTGTCTGTAACTGTCCAGTTTCCACCCTTGCCGAACTAGGCTGGAATTTCTGGACACGATCGTAGTGCCACCAGTGGCTATTACGAGTTATGTCCCTTCTTTGTCCCTCCTACTGCCTCTGTGGTCTAGAGGTAGAGCATCCACCCGGAGAGCAGAAGGTCTGGGGTTCGTTCCTTGGCCGCGCATCATACCAAAAGATGGTACTTGATGTTACCCTGTTTGGTGCTCAGCATTAAGGGGCTAAAACAAGGACTGGTCGGCTCGGAGTCAGTATTACTGTGTCTGAGTTGGGTATTCATGTTAAACTGAGGCAAGGTATCTCAGTGGGCTAGCACTATAAATCGTCATCAGTCCGGACTAGTACAAGCAGCCACACAAACACACACACGTGTATGCATGTCGCTATATAATCTTGCACGCGACGTTAAACCCAATTTCACCTCACCTCACCTGTGCATGTGGATTGTAGCACAACGCTTGAGCACCTTGATTAAAAACATGAACAGATTTAGCAAATACCTGCCAACACCCAGCTGACGGTACACATGCTTTGCAAATCCTTCAATCGTTGTTTCAGTTTCATGTTGTTTAACGCCGCACGGCATGGCTGGTTTTTGTTTGTTATTTTAACGCTGCACTCAGCAATATTCCAGCTATATGATGGTGGTCTGTAAATAATCGAGTCTGGACCAGACAATCTAGTGATTGACATCATGAGCACTGATCCATGCAATTGGGATACGATGACATGCATCAACCAAGTCAGCGAGCCTGACCACCTGATGCTGTTAGTCGCCTCTTACGACAAACGTAGGCGCATTTTAAGGCATGCATGGGTTGCTAAAGAGCTGTTCTACCCTGGATCTTCATGGGTCTTTGTATATGGACCATATGGCGATTTTGTAACGCGATTTTTATTGGACCATGAAGAGTCGTTAGTCCAGCCAAAATGTAACTCCGAAATTCCAGCCTACTTCAGCAAGGGTGAAGACTGGACTTTCATAGTCAGTTAACTCCCTTGCCTTAAGAAGATGATGTGGTATAATGGTACAACAATACCATGTGATACAACAGTACAACAGTACCATGTGGTATAACAGTACAACAGTACCATGTGGTATCATGGTACAACAATACCATGTGGTACAATGGTACAACAATACCATGTGGAAGAACACTATAACAATACCATGTGGTATAATGGTACACCAATACCATGTGGAATAACAGTACAAAAATACAATGTGGTATAATGGTACAACAATACCATGTGGAATAACAGTACAACAATACCATGTGGTATCATGGTACAACAATACCATGTGGTACAATGGTACAACAATACCATGTGGAAGAACACTACAACAATACCATGTGGTATAATGGTACACCAATACCATGTGGAATAACAGTACAACAATACAATGTGGTATAATGGTGCAACAATACCATGTGGTATAATGTTACAACAATACCATGTGCTTTAATTGTACAAAAATACCATGTGGATTGTTGTTCGTGCTATCAGCCACTGGTTGATGATGATGATGATGTTGGAGATTTAACGAGCGCTTCCGGTGTTGCCGATTTCGCACTCGGACTGGTTTGCTTGACCATGATTTGACTGCAGTGACAAAGCGGGAATATTGCTGACTGCATTGTTCGACAACACTCACCCACCCACCTACCCACCTCCCCCCTTCCTGACTCTCTGTCCCTTCCCTCCCCTCGGTCCCTTCCCTCCCCTCCCTCTTTATGATCATGTAGGTATGTAGGGGGTGATGTGTTTCTCCCACTCCTGTTGGAAGCCGACCAGTGAGGAAATCACACCACAGAGAGCCCCCACGCCCGGGTTGAACATATTCAGGCCCGACAAGGGAATAAACATATCACAGAAATCTTTATAAAAATTTGTCTGAACATTATGAAGTTCAGTTTGAATTTCAGGAGATATTTTCTCCCCCTCCACTCTCCTTTTCAGCCTGATCTCTTTTTCGAGCTTTCCTTTAATAATTTTGAGTTTCTTGACGTCGGCAGCTGTGGAGGCCACGAGTGAGATGAGCCAAACCCTCAGGGCCCACTTGCTCCACATGGGTTGGTCTATCTGAAACAAGAATATTCCGTATGTACACTGCTCCACACGTGTTGGTCTATCTGAAACAAGAACATTCTGTATGTACACTGCTCCACTTGGGTTGGTCTATCTGAAACAAGAATATTCTGTATGTACACTGCTCCACATGGGTTGGTCTATCTGAAACAAGAATATTCCGTATGTACACTGCTCCACATGGGTTCGTCTATCTGAAACAAGAATATTATGTATGTACACTTGCTCCACATGGGTTGGTCTATCTGAAACAAGAACATTCCGTATGTACACTGCTCCACACGGGTTGGTCTATTTGAAACAAGAATATTCCGTATGTACACTGCTCCACACGGGTTGGTCTATCTGAAACAAGAACATTCCGTATGTACACTGCTCCACACGGGTTGGTCTATCTGAAACAAGAACATTCCGTATGTACACTGCTCCACACGGGTTGGTCTATCTGAAACAAGAACATTCCGTATGTACACTGCTCCACGTGGGTTGGTCTATCTGAAACAAGATTATTCCGTATGTACACTGCTCCACATTGGTTGGTCTATCTGAAACAAGAATATTCCGTATGTACACTGCTCCACATGGGTTGGTCTATCTGAAACAAGAATATTCCGTATGTACACTGCTCCACACGGGTTGGTCTATCTGAAACAAGAACATTCCGTATGTACACTGCTCTACATGGGTTGGTCTATCTGAAACAAGAATATTCCGTATGCTCCACTTGGGTTGGTCTATCTGAAACAAGAACATTCCGTATGTACACTGCTCCACACGGGTTGGTCTATCTGAAACAAGAACATTCCGTATTTACACTGCTCCACATTGGGTGGTCTATCTGAAACAAGAATATTCCATATTTACACTCGCCAACTGCAATGGAAAATAGCGACCTGAGTTTATTGTAAACTTAGGTTACTTTTAAACATTGTTGTGGCAGTCTTTTTTTCTTAAGTCTGAAAAGAGGTCAGAATTGTTCTGATTTTTAGTTAATGACTATCCTGGACCCATTCACCACCACAGTTTTGTTTAATTTAAGTCTGCTTCAGGGCATCCCAACAGAATTGATAGTACTATGAACAGCAGTAGGTAACTAGGTACATTACCTTCATGATGTGAAAGACGTAGCCAAAGAATAGAGATTGTGACATCAGCAGGTGTTAACTCTATTTCACAACAAATTGATTATACAAGTTTGTTGGTATAGTTGCATGTCTTCCATAAAACAGCAATGTAGCTCACTTGAATTTGTGGAAGTTTTCAAAATAAAACAAACATTCATAATCATAATGAAAGTATAATCATTTTCAAGGGCAAATTTCAATATACTAAAAAAACAGTTGTGTATCCAATGAAAGTAGTTGTGCATTATATATCAGCAGTATTGTATCGTATGTACCCAGAAAGTAGTTCTGTGTAATCTCATTTGCATCTGCTGTGCATCCCATGTAAGCATTTGTGTATCCCATGTAAGCAGTTGTGTATCCCATGTCAACCGTTGTGTATCCCATGTAAGCAGTTGTGTATCCCATGTAATCAGTTGTGTATCCCATGTAAGCAGTTGTGTATCCCATGTAAGCAGATGTGTATCCCATGTAAGCAGATGTGTATCCCATGAAAGCAGTTGTGTATCCCATGTAAGCAGTTGTGTATTCCATGTTAACAGTTGTGTATCCCATGTTAACAGTTGTGTATCCCATGTAAGCAGTTGTGTATCCCATGTAAGCAGTTGTGTATCCTATGTAATCAGATGTGTATCCCATGAAAGCAGTTGTGTATCCCATGTAAGCAGTTGTGTATCCCATGTAAGCAGATGTGTATCCCATGTTAGCAGTTGTGTATCCCATGTAAGCAGTTTATCCCATGTAAGCAGATGTGTATCCCATGTAAGCAGATGTGTATCCCATGTAAGCAGTTGTGTATCCCATGTAAGCAGTTGTGTATCCCATGTAAGGAGATGTGTATCCCATCTTAGCAGTTGTGTATTCCATGTTAACAGTTGTGTATCCCATGTAAGCAGATGTGTATCCCATGTAAGCAGTTGTGTATCCTGTGTAGGCAGTTGTGTATCCTGTGTAAGCAGTTGTGTATCCCATGTTAACAGTTGTGTATCCTGTGTAAGCAGTTGTGTATCCCATGTTAACAGTTGTGTATCCCATGTAAGCAGTTGTGTATCCTGTGTAAGCAGTTGTGTATCCTGTGTAAGCAGTTGTGTATCCCTTGTTAACAGTTGTGTATCCCATGTCAGCAGTTGTGTATCCCATGTCAGCAGTTGTGTATCCCATGTAAGCAGTTGTGTATCCCATGTAAGCAGTTGTGTATCCCATGTGAGCAGTTGTGTATCCTATGTAAGCAGTTGTGTATCCTGTGTAAGCAGTTGTGTATCCCATGTAAGCAGTTGTGTATCCCATGTTAACAGTTGTGTATCCCATGTAAGCAGTTGTGTATCCCATGTCAGCAGTTGTGTATCCCATGTAAGCAGTTGTGTATCCCATGTAAGCAGTTGTGTATCCCATGTTAACAGTTGTGTATCTCATGTAAGCAGTTGTGTATCCCATGTAAGCAGTTGTGTATCCCATGTAAGCAGTTGTGTATCCTGGGTAAGCAGTTGTGTATCCCATGTAAGCAGTTGTGTATCCCATGTTAACAGTTGTGTATCCCATGTAAGCAGTTGTGTATCCCATTTTAGCAGTTGTGTATCCAATGTAAACAGATGTGTATCCCATGTTAACAGTTGTGTATCCCATGTAAGCAGTTGTGTATCCTATGTAAGCAGATGTGTATCCCATGTTAACAGTTGTGTTTCCCATGTAAGCAGATTTGTATCCCATGTAAGCAGTTGTGTATCCCATGTAAGCAGATGTGTATCCAATGTAAACAGATGTGTATCCCATGTTAACAGTTGTGTATCCCATGTAAGCAGTTGTGTATCCTATGGAAGCAGTTGTGTATCTTATGTAAGCAGTTGTGTATCCTGTGTAGGCAGTGAGTACCTGCAGCACTCCAATCTTGGAGAACCAGAGGCAATGGTCCAGGAACAGCCAGACGGCCTTGAATAGATTGCCTGTCACACTGAGAATCATGAGTCTGTAGTCCTGAATACTGAAGGAATCGACAGTCTTGTAGGCCAGGTCCACCGAGTTGCCTAGCCGGAACACTGAAATACAAGGAGAACACACATCAACAGCTGGAACACTTCACCAGCCAAAACAGTGGAACACATGCAGAACAAAGCTGGAACACTGGAATACATGCATCTTCCTGTGGCAAGTGTGGCCACTAGCCTATATCAAAGCCACATCAAGGCCACTTTCCTGGGCTTGACCATGGCGCCACCTCCCCTAGCTCACGAGTTGTGTCCCATGTTATGAAAACGCAATATCCAAGCAGAATGCTGTTCTTATCTCGTATAGCTTCACAAAGATGGCAACTACCATAGGCGACGACCAAGTTGATCAGACGACGAAAACAAGCGCGATTTCATCCCTGACACAAAAACATAGCCAATCATTGGGGGTTTATAAGAAGAAAAAGACATATTCCAGCAGGAAATAACTTTTATACGAAGGTGTTACCAGTTGTAGATGTTGATTTTGTGAAACATTCTCTGCTTTGACTATCGATATGTGCGATAGTCAAATCATATTTTGCCCAGGAAAGTGGGCTTGATGTGGCAAGGTATGGAAACAACACTTTGATAAAAGGCTAGTGGACGCTCTTGCCTTGGGAAGATGGAACACACATCCTCAGGCGGTACATTGATACAATAATACTCTGCCAATAAACCGTTGTTCACATCACCACACAAATGACAACGTTATCATCCAGAAACCAGTCTCCTGACCTTGACTTAACACGGAATGTCATCGTAAGAAGCAGTACCCTTGGAGCAACCTGTACCAAGCTATCACAAGAAAGCAACTGTGTTTCCAGTACAGTTACCATATACAGCAAATCATACCAAGCGACACGTATTCCTAGATTTTCTTTAGTAGACCAATAGACAATCAAACAAATCTATAGAAGGGGGTCTGCACAGGGATCTATAGAGGCAGATCTACACAGAAGATTTACGCAATCTCCCAGGATCTGCACAATGGATGCACACAGATGACCTACATAGTGAATAGCCTTGCCTTCGATTACGACTGCCATCCCACGTTAAAAACAAAAATATTACATTTCCTGGACAAAGAGAGCGCTGCTTCCAGGCGTCGAAGTCGTGTGATGAGAGGATCATCTTTCCCTGTGTCGAGGTACCATGCCATCAGCCTGGCACCATACTGGAACGTCCTGGTGGATCAGAGAAAAGACATCTATAGAGCTCTACCATATCTGCTGTGTTAAACTTAAACCTGAAACGTTGCTTTCACAGATATACTACTAAATTTGTCAAACCATACATACAAATACAGCCTGATCTTCCACACATCAGGTATAGTCTGTTATGTAACAGATTTCCATGGAATAAAATAAAGGATGGCATGATGAATGGTTAGAAACAGTTCGTATAGTTCCACATCCAATGATACCTGCATGAAAATGTTCACAGTTGAGAAATTTTGGTTTAACATCGCTTTGAACAGTAGTTCAGTTGTAGCACAGGGTGTAAGCTTCATGTAAAAGGAAAGCCTGCAGTGCTGCAGGTCTGAGAGGATAGTGAGTGAGCGAGTGAGTGAGTGAGTTGGATTTTAGCAATATTCCAGCAATATCACAGCGGGGTACACCAGAAATGGGCTTCACACACTGTACCCATGTCGGGAATCGAACCAGGGTCTTCGGCGTGACAAGTGAAAGCTTTAACCACTAGGCTACCCCACCGCCCCTCTTAGAGGATAACCACTTACGGTAGGTGAAATCCATGAACAAGGGTATGGTGATTTTAGGATTCGAACCCATGACCACAGGATCCTGGATGCCTAAGGAACGCAACTCTGCAAATCTATTTGCTGTGCTTTAAAACCTGACACACACACACAACCCATTCTGCCTTTTTGCTACAGAAATTTGTTATCAGAAAAAAGATTGGTCTCTAAAGTTTAATTTCATTCCACATTTGTGAAACGCAGACCAGGAAACCATGCTCTAGAAATTAATAATAACTCAGGTTATTTAGTGCAATACTAGTATCAAGTCTTTGAATGGCATTTAGAACTGATACATATGAGGAAGAGAATTTATGGATTTATTATGAGGAAACACAACATTTCGGAGTATATGATTACTCCTTCATCAGGTGAATGAATGCTATGAGGTAGAGAGCATATATATGTACATGTAACAAAAGTACTAAGATAACAAAAGATGGAAACTAACAAGGAGGCCAACAGATAATTGCCACTAATGGGTGAATAGCAAAAGACAGTGGAAGCCAACACTTTACAGCTGATACTAGTATGCATACATGACACTTTTTTATGGATAGCAACTTCTTTTATTCTTTATACGACGATGCAGAGCTACTTATTGCTCCTCAGGTGAATAATTCCAATGCCTACCACATACTTTAATACAAGTAGGTGTGTACCCAACAACTACCACTAAACAGGTTGTGTATCAACAGCTTAAGCCTGTAATAATATATGATTAGCTAAACTTTCTTTTCAAATAATTGCACAGGTGTGAAATCTTAGTGGATGAAAGGGTGGTGGTATTTCCTGGAGATACTGTGACTCAGGTGGAGGAGAGAAGCTATTTAGTTATTTGAACAATAGGCACTCTCCTGCTTACAGTGTGTCATTACTACATAGCTCAGTTGAATGGGAGACATTAACTGCCTTTACATGCTTAAGTGGGTGTGTCCCTCCACCCACCCCCCGTCGTGTTCATGCCCATTTCTTAAATGATCACAAGAGGGAGTGAGAGAATGTCATTTTATGTCACAGTCTACTGATAATGGGGAAGAGAAGTTATGGATGTCAACTTCTTCCTGAGGAAAATGTTTCCAAGTACCGAATTCGACGTATCATGTTGACATAGAATCGTCAAACAAAAACAAATATGACTTTTAACGAGTCAAAGTATGTCATTTATGATATATGTATCCATTCTCTGTCAACTAAAGTTTGTTTCAAGGCGTCAATAGCGGTATTCTGACCGTGGTTGCTGTTAATAACGGTGAGTTGTGCGATCTTCCGATCGCTTCACACACGATTTCGCCGAAATTAATAAAAACAATATTATAAGGAATTTTGAATAAAATCAATGACATAAGTTACAAACATAAGTTCAGATATACAAAGAACACTTTTTATAGCCAGACAGTGTAATTACATAATTATTTTGCGTACTTCAGTATGGATTTGTTGACATGGTATTCCCGGTGTTTTGTGCTCACGGTAATGTCTTTCCATGGGGGAAAAAAACATCCAAACTCATAATTCGTGTATAATGCGCACCCCCTTCTACAATGCTGTGTTTTTTCGAAAAAAAGTGTGCACTATACTCAAGAAAATACGGTAAGCACCCAGGGCGCTCTCAAAATTAGAAATAGGGGGCTCTTATTTGAAAATTATTTTGGTGAAAAAAAAACGAGTTGAAAGATAAGTTTCGTGGTTTATGCTGACAGCCTGAAATGTTTATATACAACAGATATATTTTTCCAGAATTTAATTGCCCATAATTAAGGGTGCATATAACACACGAGTGCGTATTATACACGAATAAATAAGTCTTGTGTACATTGATCAATCGGAAGGGGTGCTAATTTGGATTGTTCACTAGCCAACATATTAGCAAATATCGCCATTGGCGTTTATTAGAGCGGGGCGCTTATTACGTCGAATACGGTATATACTTACTCCTTCATCAGGTGAATAAATGCTATGAGGCAGAGAACATATATATATGTACCTGTAAGAACACCAAAAGTAATAAGATAACAAATGTAAACTTAACAAGGGGGAGCCAACAGATAATTGGTGCTGATAGGTGATTAGCAATGGACAAAAGGAAGCAACACTTAAGTTATCATTGATTGGTAATGAGCAATGGACAATGGGCAAACGGGAGGCCGGGGGTAATTAGCACTGCTAGGTAATATAATGGATTTAATATGTTCTCTGCCTCATAGCCTTTATTCACCCATCTTCTTGTGGCAAGGGCATTAACTGACTATTAAAGTCCAGTTTCCACCCTTGCTGAACTAGGCTGGAATTCCGGAATCATACTTTGGTTGGACCAACATGTCGATGCATAGTCCAATCAAAATTGAGTAACTAACTAGACATCCGTTTCGTAAACAACGTGCAGATTTCGGTCACCTGAAGAATTTGCCAAGCATGTGTACCGATAACTGGGCTTCAACAGATATTTTGCAAATCTTTTTAAGAAAGATCCTGCCAAGAAATTCCAGCCAAGTTCGGCAAGGATGGAAACTGTACTTTTATAGTCAGTTAATTCCCTTGCCTTGGGAAGATGTTATTCACCTGATGAAGAAGTAAGCATATACATATACTCCGAAACGTTGTGTTCCTCATAAGAAAGAAGCTGACATCCATAAATTCTTTTCCACATGTGTATCACTTCTAAATGCCATTTAAAGACTTGATACTGATAATTGGGTCTGAAGTATTACTGGAAACGTTATAAAATCGCTTTTGCCCCATACAAATCACTACACTGCACCATTCATAAATGAAACAATCAATTTCAAAGGAACTTATCAGTCAAAACAGCCAGTAGTAAAATGTGGCAGTGTTTTGTGGTACACATCTGAAAAATACCTGTTTTGTTGATGATTTGTCTGAGTCAATAGCCTTTACATCAGTAATTGAAACCGACAATAGGTATAGTGTATAAACATAAAACAAGCGGCTGATATAATTAGTGTTAGGGTCCACCATTTGATATTCTGTGGTTTGGAAGGTGCTGGGATTTTGTAATGAGATTAGGTTTGTTTTCAGCTACAGCTACAAAACCAGATATTACTTATCGAATTCGACGAAATAAGCGCCCGGGGTGCTTTCAAAATTAGAAATAGGGGGCTCTTATTAGAATATTACTTTGGTGAAAAAAACAGAGTTGAAAGATAAATTTCGTTGTTTGTGCTGACAGCCTGAAATGCTTATGTACGACAGATATATTTTTCCAGAATTTAATTGCCAATAATAAAGGGTGCGTATAACACACGAGTGCGTATTATACGCAAATAGGGGAAGGAAGCGGTGCGTATTAAATGCGAATAGGGGTCGGAAGGGGTGCTAATTGAGATTGTTCATAAGCCAATATATTAGCAAATCTCGACGTGGGTGCTTATTAAAGCGGGGCGCATATTACGTTGAATACGATAATTCAAAACTATGAGCCTGAATTTTCTTGTGGTAGTCAATATCTTGTTTTTTTCACCATTTTCAAGCATGATTAGTTTTTTCAAGATTTTTTTTTGACAATTCTTTGGGGGGGGGGGGGGGGTATATAATGCGAGGTCCCTCCCCTCAGAATATGAAATGGTCGGTCCCATACATTTCTTTGATAACTAATTATTAACATTACATATATTCTTTATCATCTTTATGCCAATGTGTATATCATTGTCAACAGAGTGGATCAGTAGATTCAAAGTATAGGTTCGAATCCCATCATGGGACTCGGAAATTTTATGGCCGCTACTTATGCATAGTCCAATCAGTTTAGTTAACAAAAACATCAACATTTGGCGACTGCCGTGCAGATTTCACTCGAGTGCAGGTTTGCAGAGCATGTATTCCGCCAACTGAGCGTCGAAAGATATTTTCCGAATCTTTTCATGTTATTAATCAAGGTGCCAAAGTAATTTGAAGCACTTCGCAAGGGAAGACTCATTTTATAACAATAAAGATCTTGATTATTGATCAGATGGTCTTGACTGGGTGCAGCCATTTTGTTTGAAGAAAATGCAAGTGATATGAGAGGTGGAAGCTGATTGGTCAACAGGTAGGACATAGAAGGGACACAACTCATAATCGCCCCTTGTGGTGCTATGATCGAGCCACAAAATTGTAGCCCAGTTCAGCAAGGGTGGAAACTGGACTTTCAACACCCTTGCCTCAGGATGAACTTTAGTTTGTAGTTGACAATGTGTTGTTGTTTATGGCATACTCAGCAATAGTCCAGGTATATTATGGCAGCCAAAAATAAACGAGGCTGTATTTGATAATCCAGTGATTGATATAATGAGCAGCGATCCATGCTGTCAGGATATGATGACATGCAATCAACCAATTCACCGAGCCTCACCACCCAATCCAAATAAATCGCCTCATTCAACCAGCATTTATTGCTGGAGACCTATTTTTATCTTGTTTCTCCACAGGGTGGTTGTTTATTGGCTGACATGTAGTCACAGGAATAATGTTATCTTATTTAAAAATTCATATCAACTCAATACAAAATAAAATCCAAATGGAGCCAAGAACGATGCTTATTTTCAGGCTATGGTAATCTAGACTTGCCAAATCATTCTAGGATTATATTCATTTTTTAATTTATTCTCTAGGGTCTGGGAAACAGACTAGGTGGTGGACAATGTTACAAGATTTGGACCTATAACATCTTCATGCACCGCCCCCATCTGGATCAGCATATGAACTTCTGGCCAGTTAATATTCTCATCAAGTTTAATTCAAGTCATTCAAAACCAAATGGGCTGCCAGCTCAACTGATATAGACATTATGAGTACACTAATCATATATAATATCTCTGTTTAATATGTGTGACACCCAGTGAAGATACGGATAAGAATTGGTCTTTAGCAATCCATGCTTGTATTAAGGGTGCAATTATAGAATGTGTTCGCCAACCAAAAGCATCATAAAGACTAGAGTGAGTGATTGAGTTGGATTTAATACTGCTTTAACCAGTATTCCAGTTATATCATGACAAGTAAACTTCATGCGGGAGGAGAGACCGAAGTGATGCAGGTCGTAAGCATTTACCACTTTGGTGAAACCCAAAAGCATGGGTATAGTGCCAACAAACCTAGGAACATAATCAGGGCAACCTTGGATTTGAACCCATGATCATAGTTTACAGACCGCCATCTTATTATGTATATAAAGCTGGAAAATTGCTGAGTATAGTACAAACAACAAACAATTATGACTAAGACAAGGCCCAAACTGCAGCTTCTGGAAGTGAACTGGAAATGGACACAACACCATGGAGCATAGTCCCCTTTAAATCCCGGAACATTGTGTACAGTCAGAAAAGCGCTACATCTATAATAACTTGCTTAAATTTGTACTTTGGACACGTCACACAAGACCTAGATGTAATGCACATCTCGATTGCTCATGGCCTAATGGATGATTATGCGTCGATTACGATTTTACCTGTAGAATTTATCTCTTGCTGACGTATGTGTGTTAAATTTGATGATATTTCTTGACAAAGACATAATGACTGCTCACAAGAGGTCGTTTGTATGCACATCGACATGTGTATGTATGTTTACAAAGGGGGGTTACTCTGTTTGCCTTACAGTATGTGTATACCACTAGAAAGAAATTAACATTTTGTTCCGATTGGCTTTTTTGACATTGTTAAACGTAACAGATATCAGAAACTCATTGTTGGAATCGGATAAATGTTACGTTACATATCTAAGACCTTTTTACATTATGATTTGCCGATGATCAGGTGTGACGTTCTGACGTAAGTATCTGTTGCGGATCTATTTTGTTTACAAAAAACCCGGCGCGTTATCAATGCCAGGTATTCCATGTAAACAGAAACCTGCTGAAAAGATATGACCGTACAAACACGTGGCGGACCCGTACTGACCTCCTGGTTAATTAGTTCACGAAAATATCACGTGAGACACACGCGTACACACCTCTGGATCTGCATTTGAGTTGTATGAGCTTCGTGCCAATAATGACAGTCTCATCAAGTCATTCAAAACCAAATGCGTCTGACAATGATATATTAACGGCCTTAACAAAATCTTTTTTTAGGAAATGGTTAATCGTTTTGTTACATTTACCTAATATCATATTAACCGTGGATAGTGACATCCTCTAATCCGTCCCCCAAAAATGTCCAAGCTTAGAAATAAAGCATCAGCAATGCTTAATTTTCTCTCTTATGTCTGCCTTTCTCAGCCTTGTCGCAATTAACTCATGTTTTCATGACAATGAGTAGCTGCATCAATGAATGAATTGTTGTGCGAATAAAAAAGATAAAAATAGATAAAAGATTGCACGAATTCAATAAGTGGCGACAGCCGTAAAGATATCCTAATGCTCGCAGAACGCTGATATGACCGGGAGGGGTTGTTATCGGCTTATAACGCCACATACATTCCGTGCAAAACGTATGATCTGACAACAGGTATTGATCTATCGACCTGCGTGTGCTTTGATGGAAATACTTGATGACACAATAATTGTTGGCGGAGATAAGGTAAATGATGCATGTAAGTGGACGTGTACGATCTGATGTCACACAACACGACGCATAGAGCCACACAAATACTGCAAGCCGTATTTCATGATTAAAAGACGCACACCTGTGCATCAATGCCTTATGACGTCATGAATACCATGAGGTCATGTCACTGATAAGTCAAAGTGTCCGTCTCATTTACCCTAACATCTAGGAACTAGTGTTCATTTCCAAAATGATGTTCTTATTCTGTCAATTAAGATAAATATGTTCGGTTTTGAGATACAAAAAGCATATATGTATGATGTATTATCCCCTTGTTAAATAATAACTAAACTTTATTGCTTTCCATCTAATAGCCATATTTATGGCAGTAGCTTATATTTCCATGATACATCCTGCAAGACACGAAGGTAGTATTTATAAACCATGCAGGTGTTCTGCTGTTGGAGGAGGCGTTCTTTGAGACAAGCAATCTGCCGCGAGTTGCTCTGAAGTGATGTTGAGCTGGAGGCTAATAAACAGATTGGGCTAATCAGCGTTTTCAGAACACGTAGAGTGAGTGACATTTGTAGGCTTGCTGGGGTTTAGGCGTGCCGGAAACCTCTGTTCGTGGGGTCGAATCCAGATTCGCCCTGACTAGCTGTGTTGGTTTGTCAACACCATATTCATGCTCGTGGGTTTCACGTCTAAGACATGCATCACTTTGGGCTTTCCTCTCAGATCAGGCTGACACGCCGTGATATAACGGGAATAATGTTCAAAGCGACGTAAACCTAACTCACTCACTTGATCTGCCTCCTTCTTTGGCGCTCTTCTCGTTGTTATTTGTGTCCTGCACTTCCGTTGGCATCCTTCCCTCAGAAGAATAGTTTTTAGAATAGGGTTGTGTGTATGATGTAACGATTCGATACAGCTGTGGTTTTGAAAAAAACCCGAAAGCGTTTCAAAAAGCATCCCTGCTCTACCTTGATTCATCACGTCATATTGACCAGTCAGATCACTCGTATAAGCTCCGCCCACCAGAATGCGGTAGTTCCTACCGCAGATGCCCCTTTAAAGGATTCTATGAAACCCTTTTTAAGAAGATAAAGCGCAACTTTGCACTAAGTATTCCATCTAACTGTTTTGACGACGCATGGTGCATCATATTCTTGTTTACCGAACTCGTTTACCGAACTATTTGCAGGACGTATTATTGTAGGGCCTGGGGGACCGTAAAAGCTGATTTATTATGGTTATCATATAGATCGTTCATATGACAGACGTTAGTCGCCTCTGATGGCATGGGTTGCTGAAGACAAATCGGTGACCCGCCTCTTCACGGGGTTCATCCGCAAAGAAGATACAAGGTGCAGCAATACAATGGGGCTAACGTCGCCTTCAATATTATTGCACTAATAGCGACTCAGGTAGACTCAAACCTTCCGTGATATTGGTCGCGGTGTCGAAGTGTCGAAGCTGTGCAGAGTTACGTCCCTTGTTCGAGCCGGGAACCGCTTGTTGTGGGTTTAAATCTAAGATTGGTCCCAATTTAGTCAGCGCGACCTTCGACCAGGGTTTCTTCCCGCATAAAGCTGGCACGCCGTAATAACTCAAAGTCACGCATACAATTAGCTGCTTTGTCCTTTCTGTGACCGAGTAAATGCGCTGTTTTAAGTGAAGAAATCTTAAAACTTCTGGTTCACTCTCCTACATTAAACTGACACACCGTTATATCATTGAAATAGGTCAAACCAAGAAAACTTACACACGAGAACTGCATAAATTAATTCCGGAATATAGATTTGTAATACTGTAGGAAGTCTTTCTTGACCCTCCAATTGTGAAGCCCATTTCTGGTGTCCCCTGCCGTGATATTGCGGGCATATTGCTAAGAGCGGCGTACAACCATACTCATTAGCCAAATAACAGAAATCTACTTTGGTTGGGGGAATTCGCGGTCATCATCGGATGTGATTGTTCAGATGCTTTTGCAAATGATTTCACAGATTTTCCTTGTTTTCAGACTGAAGTTTAAAAATGTGAAATATGTTTTTCATATTTTATATTTCGCTAGATTATTTTGCTAATATTGTTCATAGTCATTAATGACCTTGTCATCCGTTACAATATCTAAACTGACGGCCAAAAGAAACGTTACCAACGATATTTCTAGGATAAAATATGACCATCACAATTTGAAGCAGCAATAACAATTGTATTGTAGAAATTCATCATTCAGAACAGTAAAACGCGATTTTACTAATTCAACAACAAAGTCCTTGACCTCCAACAGGGACATTTCTTGACAAGGGGTCATTCGTCAAGTATTCGATCAACAACATTGGTTACAACTTTAAGGTGACGACGGCCCAGACCGTTCAATACGGGATATGACCTCCATGAGCGGCAATGCATCTTCCGATGCGGCGTCGAACTGAGTAGACAAGCGTCCTCACATCGACTGCAGGTATCCGATTCCATTCCTCACGGAGGGCAACGATCAACGCTTGTCTCGTGAAGGGAGGATGTTGACGTTTCCGAAGACGACGCCCCAGCTGGTCCCTGAGATGTTCTATGGGTGACAGATCTGATGATCGAGCTGGCCATGGCAGGACAGTCACGTTGTTGGCGTTGAGGAAGTCTCTAGTAATACGGGATTTATGGGGTGTGGCGTTATCTTGTTGGACCACCGTCCGTTGTTGACGCTGGATGAAAGGAAGAACCACTCGCCGTAAGATATTGTCAATGTAGCGTTGTGCTGTCAGATTGCCTTCGATGATGACAAGTCGTCTTCTCGTCCCCGCAAATGCCGCCCCAGACCATCACACTTCCGCCCCCGTAAGGTTCCACCTCCTGGACACAACAAGGAGCCGTACGGTTACCACGTACGTCGTCGATAAACTCGCGTCCGCCCATCAGGTTTGAAGAGTTGGAACCTGCTCTCGTCACTAAACAGCACTCGCCGCCATTCCCTTTGTTGCCATCGCTGAGTTTGCCTACACCACGTCAATCTGTCACGTCGATGTTGACGGGCCAAGGTCCCGTGAAAGGGCGATAAGCCCGGAGACCATAATGTCGTAGTCGTCTGGTCACTGTTTGTCTGCTGACCGTATGTCCTAAGCTGTTGGCAGCTGATGACGTCACAGTATGAAATCTGTTCCTCAGATGAAGTACCCGTAAATAGCGGTCATCCTGCGGGGTCGTGACCTTTGGTCTGCCACTCCGTGATCTGTCTACGGTTCTGCCAGTCTGTCGGAGACGTGCGACCAGTCTGGTAATGGTCATCTTGGAGCAGTTCATGGCAACCGCTCTCTGTGTCGCTCCCATCTGCAGCATACCTATGGCTCTCTCCCTCTGGACAGCGGTCAGTCTTGGCATGTTCGTTGGTGTTAATCATCGCAACCAATGATAGGGAACAGATCCGTGCGTAATTTATACCCGGAAATTGCACGATAATTTGGGAAGGAATGTTTTATAAAATTGCTGAAAAACACCAATATCTCCCGAAATTCGCAAAGCACGTGCAAAGAACGACAGAGAACATGAAGGCTGTATTCGTGAGATGTGTTCTTTACTGTTTTTGAACAGGTTGGCATCTTTGTTTCAATGTGGCAAATCAGTTAATGTTGGTAACGTTTCTTTTGGCCGTCAGTTTACAACGGCAGGCCATGCGTGATTTACAAGATATACTAGTATGCAGAGCTCTAGATAAGCCTTTTGGTTATTTGGGTATTTTACCAAGGGGTTTTGATTGGGTATCCATTATTTTAGCGTTTTCAATTTACTTTACCCACCTGTTTGTTGAATGTAACTTTTGGTAAGTGAATTTCGCGATCGGCTGATACACACTCATTTTATCTATAGTTGTAATATACGCATTTGTTATATATCAGTAGCGTATTTATAGTTTTTGTTGCGTATTTGATCTGTCTGCGTATTCAGTTTATTTCAAGTAAATCTCATTAAAATCAGATCCTAGTTCTCGCTATCGCTAAACAAAGATCTGAGGACACCCCATTATGGGTCACGTCAGAGCGACCTTTCATCCGACCAATCAGGGCGTCGCTTACCAGATCATGAAAGTGACAGTCGGAAT